AGGTGAAACTCATTTCCTAAAGAAAGATGCAAATTCTCTATGCTTCAAGGGAGAACTTTGATCAAGAGGGAGTTATCAAAGATAGGGGGAGCATTCACATAAGAGTTTCTCATTGTTTCTAAAAGAGTCAAGCATCTTCAATATCATGTTTTGATGAAGACAACTACTATGTGCATTTATCAAAGGATGATAAAAAGCATCATGAAGCAATATGGCCATGGTTAAGCTTTCAATATTATTATATGTATTTTGTCCATTTTTATGCATCTTTCCCTTATTTTTGATAATGTCAAAGGGTGAGAAGGATGTTATACTTTATGCTTGTATATTTCCTTGTCTTAAATTTTTAAGGTACTCTTCAACCAAGATGAACAAATTCAAAGGATTCCAACCTTCTCATACAAAGGGGGAGTTATGCATCTTAGGGGGAGAAGTCTCTTTCCGGAAATTACAACGCATCAAGCAAGATCATTTGTCATCACCAAAAAGGGGGAGAATGTAAAAGCAACCTTCTCAAGTGCACTTTTGTTTTGATGAAGACAAACCATGATTGTCAAAGAAGGCAAAGATTTTTGACTCAGCTAAAAGCATATGTGGATAAAGTCTTCAGTTCAAGCACTTAGCAAAATTTCAAGGTATAATGATAATACTTACTTTGAACTTAAGACATAGATACTCAAAAGAAATATTTTATATTTTCCAAACCTTTACTCAAGTTTTTCTAAGCTAAAAATCATTTTTCACTTGAGTGCAATCGATTTGCATATTAGTGCAATCGATTGCATGCTTCAATTTTTTCAAATCTTTTGCTATTGTTTCTCAGTGCAATCAATTTGCATGTTTGTGCAATCGATTACACTCAATCAATTTTTGCTACTGTTTCTCAGTGCAATCAATTTGCATGTTTGTGCAATCGATTGCACTCAATCAATTTTTACTACTGACTTCACATGCAATCGATTTACACTCTTGTGCAATCAATTGCACACTCAAAACTTTTGAAATTCTAGCTGTTGAAACCCCGTGCAATCGATTTACACAAAGGGTGCAATCGATTGCATGTTGCACGATTTTGAAAAACAGCAGCTTTGCATATGCGTGTTCATAACACCATTTCATGGAAACCTTTCACTCAATCTTGGCAATTGTTCATGATTCATTTACAGAACTTCATGTTGTTTCAAAAAGGTGCTATAAACATATAAATACTCATTTTCAAAATCATTTTCTGCACCTCTTCCAAATATATTTTATGAATTTTCAAATATCAAACTCAAGCTTTTCTTCACTTTCATACACAAAGTTTTTCTGCACACTTTCACATATTGTCAAACAGAAAACTTTGAGCATTATATATCTTGAGTCATTGTATACTATTGTCATTGGAAGAGAAGATCAATTCATTGATAAAATCACTCATAGTGATTATTACACTACAAACTCACTCAAATCAAATATTGCTATATACTTGCTTATTTTTCAGGATTGTTGAAAATAAGTTCAAGTGGTTTTGAAGTCTTGTTTTTCCAGGATTGTTGGATACAAGTAAGGTCACCTTAAGAGGATTGTTCTCATTGTTGACATAGTGAAAATCCAAGAGGATTGTTCTTGGTCCAAGAGGATTGTTCTTGGTGGTTTTATTGGTTAGAGTCTTGTATAGAAGGACTATGGTGTCTTGTCTAGAGATCTAACAATAAGGAAATCTCTAATATTGAAAGAGGACTGGAGTACTCTCGGACTGTGAGGAGAACCAGAATACATCTTTGCGTTCTTTACTTTTTCGCATTTACCGCTTTCATCACTAGTCATAAACCAGAAAAGAAAGAAACACATTTGTAAACTCATGCACTAAACCAGAAAAATAATATCCATTTCACTAAAACGGTAAAACTTTTAAAGTACCTAATTCACCCCCCTCTTAGGCGCACTCTTATACTTATAAAGTATTATTCATTGTTAGAATAACACATATTATTTTTTATGATTGCTCACGGTTGCGGATCAGACGTGATAAAAAGAGTATGACAATATGCGAATCAGAAGTTTTAAGGTGAAGGAAAGAGTCGTGAGTTGGTTGTAGTATCGACGTCGGTTTTTGGTGGTGTAAGGCCAGAGTGTTGAGGTATGGTTGATGGACCTCACAATTTATGTGTATTTAGAGGAAGAATGTTATAGTGTGAAGGTGGTATCGATGGCGGGAGGTGTGATGGTGTTTGTTACGTGAGGTTGAGAACTATTGGATGATGGTTGTGAATTGTTTATTTGGTGATTCTGGTGTGAGTTGATGAAGGGGAGTATGTGTTGTTATGGGTATGGTGGCACTAGAAGCTGAACGAAGGTAGGTTTGAGAGCTTAGCCATAGTGAGTAAGGTAGGTGGTTTGTATAAGAGCGAGAGGTTGAGAAGACAAGGTTGCATTACGGTTTGGGTTAGAGGATATGAATAAGAGAAGAGAGTTAGATAGGTTGTTATGGGGTGGTTTTACTTGGTTGAAGAAGGAAAAGAGGTTTTGTATTGTATTTCGTTTTTCTTCTTTCAAGTGCAGATTTGTTCTCACCTTTTTATTTTGTTTCCCAATTGGAGAGACATTATTAAATGGGGTGCTTGCAATTGGTCAGTATGGAAATCAAATGAAAGGGTTTGATTGGTTTATGAGATAGAAAGAAATGTCAAGTGGCCGTCGCGGGTTAGGTTTGTATGGTTTCCTCTGTTATTCTCTCATAATTAACTATATATAAGGTCAATTGTAGGGTTTTGAATTGATGAAAAGGACACAAATGCCCCTCTTTTTAATGATTAAAAATGAAAAAAAGATATGAATTAACAAATTGAAAACGAAGAAAGAAAAAATCTCATTAAAAATGATTAAAAACAAAGGAAAAATGTGACCCGAAAAAATAAAAGTTGGACGCACGTTTGATAAAAAAATAAAGTGAACATATTAAAATGATCTACGTGCGAAGAAGTTTAATAGAAAAGTTCGAAAAATTTCAAAAATGCAATTAAAAATAACCGGATGAACAGGCTCTGACTGGTCAAAATACGATCGCAAACATCGTCGAAAAAATAAAGCAAGCACATCAACATGATCTACGCGTAACGTAAATTCGTAAAACAGTTTGGTAAAGACCAAAAGTCGAAAGATTTTGCCTGCTAATCTCGCGCACCGTGTCAAGTCGTTTCGATCGGTCAACCTGTAGAACCAAAATTTTATTCTGATAACCTTGGATTGACTTAAAAATATGCGTGAGACGATGAAAATACATGAAATGCAATTAACTCGATTTCGAAATTAAAATGTAAGCAAAAGCTGACCAAACGTCGACTTTTAAGCAAGTAATGCATGAATCACTGAACAAAGATGCAAATGAAATGTGAATATAGAACCAAATGTAAAGAGTCAAACTCTTGGACCCTTCATCTCTGTTTTCTTATTCACATATGGCAATTAAAATCTACAAACGTACATGTGAAATCAGTAATCTTGACTATCATTCACCTGGCCTTCTGAGACCTGATGTAGTGGAATGAATAATGCATTGAGACTAAGAAACCAAGCCTTTGTACTTCTTAATCACCAGATGACTGAATAAATGCCATCAAGACCAGATAAAATGCCAGAGCTCTTGACTTTTCATCTAAACCCTGATGAATGCTTTCGATTGCATGATAAAATGAAATGATCATTCTATGCTGATGCTGATGAAAAACTCATGGTAAAACATAATGACATCAAAACATTGCATAAATTAAAATATACCTTATACACCCCACATCCATATAAAAAACGACATGTGCTCACATCCGTCCATGTCGTCATCAAAGGAGCATCAAGACCACACTTGCATTCTTTCCTTAAACGATTTAATCTATTTCCATGACTGAAAACCGGTTGTTACGACAACTTACAATAAAGGATCAACGAAAATGAGCAAAGAACATGAACAATCAAGCCGGAAAAAACATGAACATAAATAGAATGAAGGATTAATCTAGAAAAATAAAAACAGATTGCTTTTCTGTAATATTTAATTTTTACATAAATATATAAATCTAATTTTAATTGTATTAAATATTTTTTTTAAATAATAATTTATATTTAAAATAAATCAAAATGTTGATCTAGAATTACAGTTAAAGTGTCACATCATAAATAAGAAGATTATATATGCAAAAGTCAATGAACCAAAACATACCATGGAAAATGAAGTATAAGAATCAAAATATTGAGTTTTAAAATGGAAATAAAAAAGTTAAAATGATTTAAATAACAGAACTAAAAATACATTTAACTCAATAAAATTTAAATAATTATAAATAAAAATTAAATTCAAAAACTAATTAATTATTTTTTTACACAAAAAAATAATTAATTAATTGTTTTGATACTCATAAAAAGTATTTTAAAAAAAACAAGACACAAATATAGTGCGATTATAATTTATTTAAAGTGAATACTTAAGTATCCTTAAATTTAGTCGAATATCTATACACTCAATTAATAAAATAGTATAATTTAATATCATGTAATTTTTTTTTAATTTTTTTTTTAAAATAAAGATTTAATATCATTTTTAATTCCATATTTTAATTTTGAGATTCATTTTAATCTTTTAAATAAAGTTCATTTGAATTGTTAAATTTATTGTTAATTAAATAAATGACTAATATGATATGTTTTAAAGTGTGAAAGAATAAATATGTATATTTTTTAAATTAAGGAATCAAAATAAACCTAAATGATATTAAACCTAAAATAAATTAAAATTTTAAAACAAATTACCTCTATTTAATTCGGAATACATGATTGGATAGTGTTAATTACCACAATCCACAAGCGCTTATTAATCCGAACCTCATTTTTGTTATCTTTAATAAAACGTTAGTTTCTGCAAGCAAACAAGTAATAGCACAGTGATTTCAGAACTTGAAGTATTTAACTTCCACCTTCATTCCCAATTCAATCATTTTCTTCCTTCTCTTTCTCCGCCATAGCATATCATGAGTGCCCTAACCTTACCTCTGCAATATCCCGCTGCTCGTAGAGACGACACAGTCGTCGACGACTACCACGGCGTCAATGTCGCCGACCCCTATCGATGGTAACAACAATCAACTCAATTTCAATCATTCTTTCTCGATTTTCGATTCATAGTTATATGCTTTTGTATTTTTTTGTAGGCTCGAAGATCCTGATGCTGAAGAAGTGAAAGAGTTTGTTGAGAAACAAGTTCAACTCACCAATTCAGTGATTGCAGAATGCGAAACGAGATCGAAGCTTAATGAAAGAATTACTAAACTGTTTGATCATCCTCGTTATGGCGCTCCTTTTAAAAAAGGGGATAAGTATTTTTACTTCCATAACAGCGGTCTTCAGCCTCAGGATATTCTCTATGTCCAGGTTTGCTATTGCTTTCACATCATTGTTTTTAATCGTTAATGTTCTGCTTAGTTTTTAATTCAAGGGATTTAGGGTAATGTTTGGATTGAATGAAACATAACATGATGGAATGAAGCGTATTAGAGTTTAACCTAATTCATTTTTACAAAATTGACTTGAGGGGTGCCGGTCTATGAAAACTTTTTAAAGACTCCATGTGTGGGACTCATAACGCGGAATGGAATGGAATATAGATTACTCTCCATTCTTTGAGTATTTTATTAATAATGTTCCATTCCATTGCATACACCCCCAAATCAGATGGAATAAAAAATGGAGAATTGTTTGGAATGAAATGAAATGGATTATCATGTTCCACTCCATTCCATCTATTATTTGCAAATTCAAACAATTGAATCACATTATTTACCACTTGATTCTGTTACATTCCATCACATGCCATCAATGTTTGGATTGGTGGTATGAAATGAAATGAAATGAAGTGGTAAATAATGAGATTTCATTGTTTGGATTTGTAAATAATTAATGAAATAGAGTGGAACGTGATGAAATCCATTTCATTCGATACTCTATTTTTTGTTCCATTCGATTTGGGGTGTATGCAATAGAATGAAACATTTTTAGTAAAATACCCAAACAATAGAGTGAGATCTATATTCCATTCCGCTCCGCTTTATTCCACTCTGTTATGTTCCATTTTGCTTTGTTCTTTTATGTTCCATTCCGCTCTACTCCGTTAAGTTCCATCAATCCAAACATAACCTTAAGGTTTGTTAACTAATGACATAAACATTTGTGAGATCTTTCAGAGAGCTCATGGAAACAGTTTATGAGATGTTCATAGCTCTTCATAATAGCTTAGGAAAACGATTTGACTTTGTTTTATCTTTTATTATAGAAATAGCTTATAGATAGGGACTTGTATGATATATGATAATTAAGTTGTTTTTTCAAATATGGTCTTGGTTATCTTTTCATTTTTAGGATAGTTTGGAGGGAGAGCCAGAGGTTTTGCTTGATTCCAATGCCTTAAGTGAAGATGGAACTGTTTCGTTGAACACATTTTCTGTGAGTGAAGATGCCAAGTACTTGGCTTATGCGCTTAGTTCCAGTGGTAGCGATTGGGCGACTATAAAAGTGATGCGCATTGAGGACAAGACTGTTGAGCATGATACTTTATCATGGGTGAGTATGTATGACATTATATCTTTGGTAGAAATTAAAACGGACATATAGAACATTGATGATTGTTAATGTTTTGTTTTAGGTTAAATTTTCCTCTATTAGTTGGAGTCATGATAACTTGGGTTTCTATTACAGCCGCTATCCAGCACCCAAGTAAGTGATGTTCTATGCTCCCATTCTTTCTAGGAAGGGCATGTCTTGCAATTGCATCTGACTCACAAGTTCAGCAAAGTATAAATATGGAGTGTGTTGTTTTCAATTTGATAGTCCTGGTCAAAGATGATTTGAATATGTGTTAGTTACTATTATCTATATGGAGATCTTGTAGATCACTTATGTATGATTGTACTTTGTATTAGTCAGATTATTTTTATGTTCTGTTGATATGAAATATGAATTTATTATTTTGCTTTTACACTGTAGAGATGGAGAAGTGGTAGATGCTGGGACTGAGACAAACTCTAATCTTTATCATATGCTTTATTATCATTTTCTGGGTACGGATCAAGAAGGAGATATTTTGTGTTGGAAAGATCTTCAAAACCCTAAATATACAGTTGGAGGAATTGTTACTGTTGATGGGAAGGTGCTTTATTTTATTTGTCATTGATTTAGAATTATCTGATATTGTTTTTATGCTATTTATGTGCATAGAAAATAAGAAAACGTGCAACTGATGTCTCGGTGGTTTTAGTAATTTTACTAACATCAGCGTAGTTGATGATTCGCGCTGGTTTATGCCCTGCCCCATATATGTTTCTTAGGAGACATCTATTTAGATCTCCCTGATTTAACATTAAAATTTCTTGCTTTAGTAGTCTCCTTTGGGATCTTGTCTCTATTATATTGCTTCGCATATTTTGATTTCACGTATGTGGTTTTGTTAAGTGACCAAATTTTTTTTTTTGAGGCAAGTGACCGAGTACTATAGTGTATAGCTGTGAAAAAATGTGTTTGTTCAAGTGTGTTGCCATAATAACCTGAATATTTACTCTTATTTTGAAATTTCTTATTTAACAACATATTAAGGTAAGCAATTCATTGCTTTGTAATTTTAGTACATATAGTCGACAGAAGATTTATTAATCTTAACCACATCACATAGCATTATAGAAGGTTGAAGGATATTATGTTAAGTTCATGACATTGTAATCCAAGGAATGGTAGTGACTAGTGAGTATACTTTGAATTTTCTTTGTCAAGCACAATAACAGAGGTATAATGAAGTTTATGCATATGGTTTTAATTTTCTAATGAATCTGAATCTCTTTTTACTTATGATGCAGTATCTCCTCCTTTATATTTCAGACGGATGTGATCCAGTTAACAAACTTTACTACTCTGACATAACTAATCTTCCCAGCGTATTTGAAGGTTTCCGCAGTGATAATTCCGCCCTCCCTTTCGTCAAACTTATTGATAACTTTGATGCGAAGTACGACTACATTGCAAATGATGACACTGAGTTTACATTTTTAACTAATAAAGATGCTCCAAAGTATAAACTAGTCCGAGTAGATTTGAAGAACCCAAACACATGGGCTGATGTTCTTCAAGAGTCTAAAAATGATGTACTTGAGTCGGCGGTTGCTGTAAATGGTAACCAACTGATAGTTAGTTACTTGAGCGATGTGAAGCATCTTCTACAAGTAAGAGACTTAAAAACAGGTTCATTGCAGCATCAACTGCCAATTGACATTGGCACAGTTTCTGAAATTTCTGCACGGCGGGAAGATAATGTGGTCTTCATTAGCTTTACAAGCTTTCTATCTCCCGGTATCATTTATCAGTGCAACCTGGGAACAGGGATTCCTGATCTGAAGATATTTCGTGAAATTGCAGTCCCTGGGTTTGACCGCTCCGAGTTTCAAGTCAATCAGGTACATAAAAAATCTATGATGCTTAACAGTCGTCAGTCGTCACACTGTTAAATAGGCTATTTTGAATTCCATTATTCGGTACAAAAACAAGCATGCAAATTTGTCACATTGTTAAACTGTTTTGAATTCCTTTAGTCTGTATGTGTACAGGCATGCTATTTCTGAGTCTGTATCTGTTGCTAGACTTGGTTGTTCTATTCTTTCATGTGTTTTCCACATTTCAGGTTTTTTTCCCTAGTAAAGATGGTACCAAGATCCCAATGTTCATTGTTGCGAAAAAGGGCATTATTTTGGATGGTTCACACCCGTGTCTATTATATGGATATGGTGGTTTTAACATCAGTATCACACCGTCATTCAGTGTTAGTCGCATTGTACTCACAAAACATTTAGGTTTTGTTTACTGCATTGCGAATATTCGCGGTGGTGGAGAATATGGGGAGGAATGGCATAAAGCAGGTTCCCTTGCTAAAAAGCAGAATTGCTTTGATGACTTCATTTCTGCAGCCGAATACCTTATATCCACTGGTTATACCCAATCAAAAAAGTTATGCATTGAGGGTGGAAGCAACGGTGGCCTTCTTGTTGGTGCTTGTATAAATCAGGTCTGATTCATTTGCTTTATTTATCCATTTGTAGGTCATACTTTCCATTCAACAGCTCTCTCCTACTTATGCTAGATTTCCCATTCCCCTTTTTATCTGTACAGAGACCTGATCTCTTTGGCTGTGCATTGGCTCATGTTGGCGTTATGGACATGCTGCGGTTCCACAAATTTACCATAGGTTTGTTTAAATTTTCCGATGTCCAGTACTTTGTTTAAACAAACGTCACTAAATGATTCTAAATTGTTATTCAGGTCATGCTTGGACCTCAGATTATGGTTGTGCAGACAAGGAGGAAGAGTTTCATTGGCTAATCAAGTGAGTTTTATCCAATCCTGAAATATCAAGGATAAATTTCAATATTTAATGAAAGAAGTTCTACTTTTAATTTCCTTATTTTCTATTGGTTATCAAAATCACGATCTAAATCTTAAAATTTTGCGATTTTACAATCTCACTCTCCCCCAACGATCTAGATCTTAAGTAGAAACGTGTGTGGTAGTCAAATTGTGAGGAAAAAAATGGTAAAACCAATGATTATGTGCGATTAACCAATTCTGACCATAATCGGCCATTTTCCGTCCAGCACCATTACAAGCCGAAAAGGATAACAAGATACAAAGGCACAACAATTTCGGTCTGGCGGCATCCATTTTCCCACGAATACACTTGCCTACAAAAATATCATGTAGATTGTAGTATATTTTCCGTTAAGTAGTATCTTATGATTTTTGTTACGATCTTATGTTTTGTGATCTTCCAACCCCCTCAATCTCACAAAAATAATTATGTAGGATCTTCCGATCTTACCATCCCCTTCCGATCTTATGCAAGATCCCGATTTTGACAACCTATTATTAGTGGCATTTATTAGTAAGTGCTATTGGTGGAAGTATAATAATGATAGGATCAGGTTTGGACAATTCCCATATGAGGATGGACAGAAAAATTGCTATTACAATTGAAAGGCGTCTGATTTGAGTTCTCATAATATAGATGCATAATAGACAGAAATAGGAAATACTTATATAGTAAATTACTGAAAATCATCTCATGTCTTAAATATCTATGAGACAGTCCCTTTGTTGTACTTTTGATTAATATCCCTTGTTGCACTATTGTACAATCACCACCCTTGGTCCCTGATATCATGTCCATTTTGATTGTTGTTTTCTTTTCCCAAAGTTCATAAGCTGCACTTGCATGTTTTGGTCTGATAAGCTAGCTGTTATTATATTTGCAAAAGAGATAGTGTCACTTGACCCATATTAATCTTATATAGGATGACATGGTTTTCTTGTGCTACTGCCGCATGATAAAGTGTCAAAATGATTGGATGGTGTAAACTCACATGTTTTAGCAGCATAGACTGCATGAGATTAATAGTTCTTTCCTGGCATCAGTCGAGAATTCGCATTACCATTTTATCCTTCTATTTTCAGGTTCATCTGGAAAAATGTAAATTCGAATATATCTGCTTTCATCATGTTGTTTCTCAACCATATTTTGAAAGACAGTTGAAAGAATTCCTGTGGTTTATTTGCTTCGATAAGCAGTTTTGGTTTTTATGTTTTGAAAATATGATTCTACTTTCTAATGCTCTAGGTACTCACCATTGCATAATGTCCGGCGACCGTGGGAAGAGCATCCTGACAAGTCAGTTCAGTACCCAGCAACCATGTTGTTGACAGCAGATCACGATGATCGAGTTGTGCCACTTCACTCATTGAAGCTATTAGCGGTTAGTGAGCTTCATATATGAATACAAGTATAGACTGAAATCACAACCTAACTTGTATTTATTGGATTATGTTGCAAGCACATAATTAAATTAACAAATAGTTGTTCCATAGGGGGAGGATTGGTCGTCACTCTCATTTGACCACTTTGAGAAAAAACTGGTTCCAATTTTTGCTGTGTTCTACTGATTTCTTCTTTTCTTTTCTTCTCTAACTCATTTCCAATTGTTGCACAGACCATGCAGTATGAGCTATGCAGCAGCTTAAAGGAAAGTCCCCAAACGAACCCTATAATTGGTCGCATTGACTGCAAAGCTGGACATGGAGGAGGTCGTCCTACACAGAAAATGGTAACGCTTTTGGTTGTGTTGATTTACCTTTTTACATATTCTATATATTATGCCCGAAGCTGATTATATACATTTGTCAGATCGATGAAGCTGCTGATCGATTCAGTTTTATGGCTAAAATGTTAGAAGCACATTGGATTGAATAGAGAGCTCACTTGGTCACAAAGTATATACATGAGAATGGAATAACTTCTTTCAGACAATACAGGCCAACCAATTCATAAGAAAATGTCTTGAACATGAAATTATTTGAGAAGTGGGGGTTATGATTGAGTTACCGAGCTATCCACACCCAATTGAATCGTTAGTCATTTATTTTGAGTTACTTTCACAATATATATTTGAAAGTTGTTAAAAAAACATTGGTACTTAGATGTGATAAAACTTCAGTTACTTTAAGCAGACCGGAATGTGATGACATACTATTCAATATGAAAGGATCGTTCTGTGTCACATTGGATGCTAACTATGTGTGTCTAAAGTCTAAACCCTGTTTTTTATAATAAAAAAAGAACTTCATTGATAGACAAAAAATTCTACCGCACAAGTGATCGAAAACGATCCAGCAAAACACAAAAACAAAACCAGCCTAAGGCATAAGGAGCTTTCCTATATGGTGTCTAAGCTTAGAGTGTGTCCAACATCTGTCCACAATATTATCAACATCTGTCTCCAGAATATGAACCAAAGCAAACTGAATTCTTATACCTCCACACTTCATATATTGCTTCAAAAAAAACACACTTCAGGATGCTAATTCTCCAACCTTTTCTGTTACATTGCTTCAACATCCAGCCAAATTTTTCTGGTAGTAGATGTTGGAGAGTCTCACTATTTCCACAGAAACAGCAGTCCATGTTGAATAAACCAAACCTGACCAGCCTATCCTTTGTAGCCAAACTATTGTGGCAAGCCATCCAAGTAATATGCACTGCTCTTGGCTAGCATAATTGCCATACATTAGCTTCCTCCAATCTACCTTTTGACTGCTATTACAGAACTCTTCATACAAAATTTTTGCTGGTTCAACTTTTCCTAAGCTTGAGATTGGCTGACGTACTGTCTGCTGTTCAAAACTGTTTTTAAAGTCCATGGGCATCCTTGTTTAACAGCCGCATTCATGATCTTTTTCTTAATTCTCAAAATGACTTTTATTTTTATTTTTTTACATAGTAAAAATTATTTATTTTTAAGTTATTTTTTATAAATTAAAAGATTAATAATTGACATTCTGTAATATTACATAATATTTTTAAAAAGTATATCTTAAAAATAATTTGTATTTATTCAAAACAATTTTAAATTTAAATTAATTTTTAAAAATTTTGATATAAAAAGTTATAATATAAGGATGGTTTTCTGGGCCGGCACACGTGGTATTTAATTTATATAGCCATCACACGTGATATTTAATGTACATTTTTTTCTTCTTCATTATTTTCATCTTGGACTTAGTAATTGATTTGAGTATTGGAGTGTTAATCTTGCAAGTCTATCCAACACATGTGTCTTTTACTTTGTATTTTGTTATTAACATTTTGACATTTTTATATTATGGTTGGCTGTATTTTATAAACACTAATGTATGGTGTTCTGGACTGAGCTCGTCTTTGGCCTAACTACCAGTGAGGCCCAATCCAAGCTTGCCAACCTGCCGCGCTGAGTAGTATTTCCATCGAGCACATCTCGATCACAGATGTCTTGTCGACCATGACTACTTTCCGTCACTGCTCGCAGAGATCATCCCCGACGAGCACGCTCTCCTCCCGAGCACCTTCCTCGTAGGGCTGACTTCCAACCTCTCAGGATTTCGTTGAGTCTTCATGGTCCCAGAAAGATCGCGTCCCTATCCTCTCTATCTTGTGGAGGACGTTATCCAGATAGGGGGTCACGTGTTGAGTCCCCACTACACACGTAGAACCTAGCAGTCTCTTTGTTGGGTCTGTTTGATCAGCCCAATAAAGAGACTTTGGTCCAGCACTGATGGCTATAAATAGCCTCTCTTTCGAGAGGGTCAGGTATTCAACTCATATCTCAGAACTCTTACTTGCTTGCTCGTTCCGCTTTACTTTTCCATCAGAGTGTCTTGCAGGTACTCCTCCCCATCTCACTCAACTTCTGCCCGAGCCAACTGTGACGGTCCATCTCTGATCCAGCAAGATCAGTGGCGCCAACTATGGGGAATTAAGCTTCTCCATTTTCTATTCACTTGAGACCAAAAGCTAAACAATCCTCGTCTGTCATGGCTGACCAGACTCCAGACAACCTGAGCGTCCGTGTCATAGACGTTAACAACAACATCACCGACAACAATGTCGGCCTCGACAATGCCGGTACCGCTGGCCATAACACAGTCCCTGGCGTCAACATGCCCGGACCTTCTGAATACAGAGACGAAGCAACTTCTTCGTCGTCATCTCTGCCTCGCCGACATGAAGACGATCGGTCACCTCCCCAGAATTACCAACACGTCCAATTCCACGAGGTCCCCGTCCCCGCCGGGGCAGACGCCACGACCAAGGCACTGTTCGTGACAATCAATCAAACCAACTATCTAATCTTCGCCCAGGGGGAAAGACTGAGGGCGCTCGAGGACGATCGGAGGCCCCCAAGAAGACACATGAGACCTCAATCTCCTCCCCCTCGACAAGCGGATGAACATCCCCAATCTCCCTTGCAGAGACATAATCGGGACATCTCTTGAAGCCCATCGCCCCGACCACTCGGGCGACGACCCTCTTTGGAGAGGGCACAACTCGTCAACGCGGGAAGGCGCGATCATGGCCCCTCGCGTCAAGAACGAAGACCCCCTGGAGACAAGAACGGGGGAAACCATCAACGATCATACCGCCCAAGGACCACTCCGCGCGAATAGGGCCACCGTGACCGCCACAACATCAGATCTCCGTCTCGCTCGCCCGAACGGAGTGACGAGGACGACCCTAGCGGTCCCTTCTCGCAAGCTATCATGGAGGCGCCCATTCCCCCGGGCATGGAGAAGCCTCCCCACCTGAAGGAATATGACGGTATCGCCGACCCGGTCGACCATATAGACGGGTTTGAGGCCATGCTGCACTATCACAACGTCGGGGGACCGATCAAATGAGAGTTGTTCCCCACGATGCTGAGGAAAGTTGCGATGGATTGGTACAAAGGTCTCGCTCCGGTGTCAATCACCTCTTGGAGAAATTTGAAAAACCAATTCATCAGCTCGTTCACTGCTTCGCGCCGACACCCGAAGACCGATGCAGCCATCGAGGCCATCGTCCAGAGACACGATGAGACCCTGAGGGAATTCATTGACCGGTTCAACCGGGAGGCCATCCAGGTCCCCTGCACGGACCACATGAAAAGATACCTGCTCGAGAGGGGGCTCTTCCCGGGCACCGAATTCAGAAAAGTTGTAGGTATCGAACCACCTCGAATGTTCGATGCCATCCTCGAGAAGGCCAGGGCCTATATGGACTACGAGGAAAGAGAAGCGACCAACAGATCCCGAGATCCTAGGAACCGCGGATCCAGCAGTAATCCACGACAAGACATCGCCCCTCCTCGATGAACTGGCGAGAAGAGAAGGGACGATAAACCCCAAGACGCCCGGGAACAAAGGGGTCCCTCGGGGAGGTTCACTGAATACACTCCGCTAACGGCTTCCCACAAGCGCATCTTAGCGGAGTGCGCAAATACAGACTTCAAGGACGGCGGCGTCAAGCATCCTCGCCCTGCTCCTGCCAAACCTGGGGTAGACCGAAGCAAATACTGCCAGTATCACTGGAGCCATGGGCACTTGACCGAAGACTGCGTCCATCTCAAGGATGCCATCGAGACCCTCATAAAGGGGGGAAGCCTTGCGCAATATCGGTGAAACGACGCTCCTCGTCGGGATGCCCATGAGACGAGAGAAGTAGAAGAGGATGCTCAACCATCTAACGAGTCGGTTCCCATCCAAACCGCGTTCTCCGTCACAAGACCTGGGGACTTCTACGTCCCCGAACATCTGCAATAGCCTCTATCTATGCACGGCAGGTGGGAAAACTTCCCCTTCGCCATGTTCATCAACGATGGAGGGTTTAATGATCTGACCATAAATTCAGCAAAGAGAAAGTTGGACGAACTGGTCGACGCGGCTCCCCCGCAAACGGTGACCTTTGAAAGGGTGAAAGGCAGATCAGAGTCGATCACCTTTTACCTCGAGGAGCTTCCCAGGGGGGCCCCCAATTCAGCCATCCCCTTTTGATAAGGGCGAGAATGGCCAACTTCGGCGTACATCGCATCCTGGTCGACGAGGGAAGTTCTGTCGACGTGATGTACAGTCAGCTTTTCAAAACCCTGCAGCTCGATGACTCTCACCTTTCACCATATGTGGGCTCAGACCTGCAGGGCTTTAATGGCTCGACCTCTAAGCCATGGGGGTATGTGGAGCTTATGGTCACATTCGGCGAGGATACCGCTACCAGGCAGGTCAAGGTCCGTTTCTTCGTCATCGACTGCCCATCCCTCTACAACTGCATCCTCGGCAGGCCAACACTAGCAGAGCTGACCGCGGTGCCCTCCACCGTCCACTTAAAAATGAAGTTCTACACCAAGAGGGCACGGGTCGCCACTATTCAAGGCGATCTAACATCCCCTCGAAGGTGCTTCAATGCGGCGTCCAAGGGACACGGCATAGTCGACACCAACACACGGCCCGCCAAGAAAGCTACAACTGCGCGATCAGAGCCTCAGTGGTCAGAGCCCGTTAGAGTAGAAGAATAGAGGGCCCCTCCAAAGGTCGACTCGATCTCTTTGGACACTCGCTTCGACCAGGACGAGCCCTCTAGCGACGAGCAGGTTCCCCTTTGACCAATTCCGGATGGGGACTTCGAGTTCGTCCCCCTCGGTGAAGACCCAAGCAGAGGAGTAGGGGTGTTCAAATCCAAACCAATCCAAATAAAAAACCGAAAACCGATCCAAAAAACCGAAAACCATAAAAAACCGAAAGTTATTGGTTGTGTTTGGATGTTATTTTATGAAAACCGATCGGTTCGAATAGGATTTCGGATGAATTTTTCAAAACCGATCCAAATCAAACCGAACCGCATAAATATATTTTGATACTTATTTACTTTTTATTAGTATGACATGTTATGTGAATTTATTATTAGAT